ATATGCATGTATGCATCTACGCATGTCTGCACATGCACATGCACACACAAGCATAAACCCTAAACCCCAAGCCCCTAAACCCGAAACCCTCAACCCCTAAACCCAAACCCCCCAAAACCCCTAAACCCCTAAACCACTAAACCCTAAACCCTAAACCCTAAACCCTAAACCTAAACCCTAAACCCACAACCCTAAAAATACACAGCATGTTGTGGAGGCCATCATGAGCTCATCCCGCAAGTCCCCCTACTTCCACAGGCATAAGTCAAGCAAGATCTGATGTAGCTGCCTCCCCGATTATTTAGACATTGCCCAAAATCCTACGTACATATGTACATATGTATATACACATCTATACTTGAGAGTTGGTGTGCGTGGATAGATATAAACATATGCATGCCGCATAACCATCCGAAAAAGCAGAGTCCGAGTTCCAAGAACCCAAAGAGGACCCCTGAGTCTTGAAAACCCTTTTCAGACCGGGGCTTGACAGTTCAGTGAAGACCCGAAACCCTAAATCCCGAAACTCTAAGCCCTAAACCCTGCACATCCATGTACGACTTTCACCCTACATGTGCCTTTAAGCCCATAGAACCCCAAATGTCCTCAACCCTACATATCCATGTAAGCCCTGAACCGTTCCAAGTAAGCCCTAGAACCCCAAACACCCTAAACCGCCTAAACCCTACATATCCATTTAAGCTCAACGACCCTGAAAACCTTAAAACCTAAACCGTAAACCTAAAACCTAATTTATGGATGACGAGGCCTGGACCTGGAACATGCAGAGCCATGACGACCTGGCATTTGAGACCCAGGGGCTTTGTGGTTTGGGGTTTCAGTTTTTAGGTTTTAGGGTTTGGGTTTAGGGTTTTTTTACAAGTTTAGGGTTTAGGTGCCCAGGATTGGAAAGCAAGGTAGGCATATTACGAAACACTAGCGCTATCTATACCGTTCATTGCAGGGGGACTTAACCTGTTGTAGCTTGAGTGCCGTCCTACCTAGTTGGTAAATATGCTGGGACCACTATATGATGATAGAAAATCGAGTGGAAAGATACTGAAAACTCAATATTATGGGGATCAGTGTGTACCTGGTAGGTTTTCAAAATTTGTGGCCCCTTTCGGGTTACGAAATATAATATGGCCCCTCATATCCGGGGTACCCAAAACAAGGACAACAATCTTGACAACATTTGACAACCACAACATCGGGACCATTTTAGTGATCCACTCTTCCCTTCCCTACTAATTACTAACCATCAACAAATTCAGGAAAGCCCTAAACCCTACACCCTAAACCCTTAGGGTCTAGGGTCTGGAGCTTCAAGGTTTAGGGCCTAGCGTACTTTGCAAGTTTCATCTTCAGATGTTAAGGCTCGGTGGACAAGTTACAAGAAACTGGCATAATCCAAATAGTCACTGGAAGCAGAAATCTGGCTACAATGTCACTATTGTCCTGCCTAGAATTTCCATGCTTGCCTGCAGCTTCCAGGTCTTCTGTCTCGGGGCTATTATAGGGCTTATTGGGGAATACTATGTAGGGGTTAATAGGGCTTATGTATGGGTTCGTTAGGATTATACAGGATTTTATAGGTACCATACTCTCTAGCGATTACCCGTCGAACCAAACAAATACGAGTCGCAATTCTTTTTCTTGACGGAGTTTGTCATACCCTTTCTCTTGCCCCTGGCTCGATTCGAGGATGGCATATATCTCCTGTAAACCCCTATATAATCCTTATAAACCCCCAGATAATGATTATAAGCCCGGACATCATCCCTAGCCACCCTACATAATCCCTATAAACCCTTGTATAACCCCTATAAGCCCTATTAAACCCAGTTGATGCCCAGGGTAGGTGTGTAATTGGTATAGCGGACCCCGAGACCATAAACAAGTACCCAAGTCCCAAACCCTTGACCAAAGAAGCCATATCGAGAAGCGAAACCTTCACTCCCCTATATAATCCCCTATAGAGCCGCTCTTTAAGGATTTTGGACCCTAAACCCTGAATCATAGACCCTAAATTCTAAACCCTACATCCTAATCCCGTATATAACTGTTCTTTAAGGAGTTTAGACCCTAAACCCTAAATGATAAGCCCTGAATCCTAAGCCCTAACTCCTAAACCCGATATACCCCACTGCAACGAGTTCAGACCACAGTTCATCTGAGCCATAATCTAAACTCCGAGTATCGCCCTTAATAACCCCTATAGTAATCCCCTGTATCATCCCCTATATCATCCCCTTTAAGCAGTTTGGCCCACAGCTCATCTAGCCTAAGGTTTCCCAAAGTTAGCGATACCTTTTAAAGGTATAAGGTTTAGGGTTTAGGGTTTGGGGTATAGGGATTTTATAGGAGTTTAAGGGGTTAAGGTTCCCTTTAATTAGGGGTTTAGGGTTTAGGGGGTCCATGTAACAGGGACTCTAGATTTTTGGGGGGTCTATGTTGGGGTCCCCTTACTTAGGGGAACGATCATGTGTGTTTAGGACCTAGATAAGCCCACTACGAAACACGGATATTACTATAACTAGCGCGCGTTAAGGTTGTAACCTGGTTGTAATCGGAATGTTTTCCCACCCAGCTCAGGACTGTCTTGAACTAAAGTCCCCATAAGCTGTGGCCAAAAGTTCCCAAGTTTCTGGGGCCTAAACCCTAAACCCAGAACCCTAAACCCTACAGTCATTCTCAAAGCAAAGAAGACTACTGCTCCGCTGGTACGCACACACACACACAGATCCTTCTTCTATGCTGTTCTGGGTTGCCACGTACATGCTGCCCAAGCCCTAACGTTAGATGCTCCCTAAACGTTGAAAACACTGCTTTGCAAAAAAAAAGATTCGGATGCACAAGGCTAACTCTTTAAGAAGTCCAACCGCATGGACATCCCCTACACCCAAGAGCTCAACAGGGCATGACGGCATAACAGAACTGAACTCACACGCCTGTGGCACCCTTGATGTCTTCGCACGAAATGATATGTGTTGCACAGGTATCACTGGATACGCGTCCCCTTTTTAGGCCAAAGACACCATGTTCAAATTGTAGAGACTCCCAGTAGCCCAACTATGTTGAGGAAGGTGTTCAGCACCAGCGGGCTTGGCAATCAATGCAGCCCCAGCTACAGCGCATAATAATGCTCTGAAGTGAGGGAAAACTGCCACGATGCGAGAACACCTTAAGGAGGTAGCAGACACTTCACCGGAACCTAGAACTGCATCCTGACATAATTAGGATCTAGAAAAATGCTTGTGGAAACTACCACATTGTTGAGACTTTGGAGGGACTACCATAAAGGTCCATTCCTTCATGCATTGCTCAGCAGAGGCAAGTAAATTTCCCCGCCTGGGGCACAGCAGCTGCACGCTCAGCACCCCAGCACGACGGCTGACCCTACCCCCCCTCGAGCTGCAGGAGGGTTATACAAGGATTATGAGAAGAAAAACGGAACTAATATTCTAGGGGAGGGGGAGTCTTAATAGGGGGAAGTGAAACACGAATTTTATGGATATTCTGATTCTATAATCCCTATCTATATAACCCGTTATAGTAGCTTCCATTCTCTTATCCCTAATAGTAGAATTTAGGAAACTATGGCAGCTATGGGTCTCCGTGGGAAAGATACCAGAGGTCGAGTCCCAGGGCTTATTTATCTGGGCGAATCCCCATACTAGGATACCTTTTTCCGAGGAAAGGGGATAATGGAAAAGAAAATGGAACCTACCATAATGGGCTATAAAAGGTTTAGGGTTTAGCTGGGAGTTTCCCAAAATTAGGGAGACCTTTTTGGGAGTCCCCCAATAAGCCCCCCTATTCTGCAAACCCTGAGCACGGCTCATGGCCGGCAAAGCTTCAGTGCCAGGGTTTAGGGTTTTAGGGCTCCGTGCCTGTGAACCCAGGGTTTAGGGTTTAGGGTTTAGGGTTTAGGAAAGAATCCTCTTGTTTTATGGAATTTTGTTGATGGAGGCAATCCTGCACCCCTACGATACCTGAGGTTACACGAGATTAGATACCCTAAGTCACGTACCTTGTTCTAAATGAACAAGTACATAAAGGGCGTACACATTGTTCGGAAATACTCAAGAACAAGGCTGCGGCGCTTGCAAACACATGTACGAAAGAGTCCCCAACCCTCGAAAGACGGCCTTATAACAGTCATGGAGGCCATAATCCTTTGAGGATGGGTTGGGGCTTGCAAGAGAAACTTTGTTCAGCGATATTCAAAATGATTGTGTGACCATCTTAAGATATTCATCCTGGGCGAAACAAAATGTAAACACATGGAACCAGACTCGGGCTCTACTGGCCGTTGGTTAGCCAGGAATGAAGGAATGGATCCCTATATAGTAGTCCTTATATAACCCAGTATGGTAGTTTCGATTTTCTTTTCCGTTCCTTCAGTCCCACCCTAAACCCTAAAAACCCTATATAATCATAATCCCTATAATCCCTGTAGTTTCCATTTTCTTTTCCATTCCTTCCTTCCCAGCTAACCAAAGGGCAGTCTAGAGCTGGGACAGTAAGCGACCTTCAGGATAGTTTGCGCTGGACTCTATACACACACTAATGCTCAGGTAGTAAGAGCCATATCATGTCCTGTCATCCCTTGTTAACTTCAGCCGTGACTGCCACACCTAACTACCATGACAAAAGGGCGCACAGCTTCTTGCTCAGTCTTTTGACTTGCGTTGCGAAGGCGTTGAATGCGAAGACAGGCGCACTTCGTGCGCATGGGTGGACGCATTGCATTCCGTCAGGCCACGTGAGGGCCGAGGCGTTAGCCTTAGCTTGGCAAGCCAGTGCAGGTTGCATCTCAGCACGGAGGGCTTCAACGGATTTGTGAGTTTTCAAGCCCTCCGAGCTGCCGAGGGCTGGGCACCTCTCGTAGCCACAGCCTGGGAACCAAGCCCGGGCCATGGGAGGTGGCCAAGACTAAGCGGCATTTGCGGATGGCAACGAGTGCAGGGCAGGTATTGCAGGGCCTGCAGTTGACTTCATGTGGACTGCTTTGGCCGGCTCCGCACATCCGCATTTAAAGCAGCGGACCTCAGGGGAGCGACACGCAGCGCTGCCTTGAAGAGGCACGGCAAGGTCGGCAGGGCCGGCGCAGGACAGCCGTCCTTCAACACAAGCTCATGATCATTGCTAAACAAGGCATCCATCATCAGCTGGGAGGCATGCTGGCCACGCTGGACACCTGGGACTTTCGGTCCAGGCATGCTAGCTGGCCTCTCGCAGCAAATCAGCTTCGACTCGAGAGGAGTGGCTGGCGTGCTGATGCTCGATCCACACTTCTGCATGCTAGGCAATGATGACAGTGCTCTGCAGTTGTGTAACTCTTAGTCTGCAGCAGGACGGCATCAGGGGCTGAGCCCTTGCGTGGCATAGATGCAAGCGGGATCTGCTCTTGACGTGACGAGCAATGCAAAGCCTTGGAAGCTTTCGATCTGTGGTGAAGGTACGGGGCTTGGCTGGCGCAAGAAGCCTAGACGTGCCGGCTAGCGTCTGTCAAGGCCACAGCTTGAAACACAAAAGCTCAAGGCTGGAGCAGGAGATGCCTTCGCACTAAGCTTCGAGCTCGCAGCAATCGGCAGCATACTTGCACTTGGGCAGCAGAGGTGGTGCCAGCGCCCCTCGGAACTGGCAGGAGACAACTTCAAACGGCCTCGCCTCTGCAGGGGTTTCCGCGAACCACTTCGTATGACACGCAAGTGCTGCTTCGGTAGGGAGTTCATCAAGTCAAGCCACGCTTGGAGGCGCTGGGCATAGGAGAATGTGGAGAATCAGAGAAAAAAGTGTGGGAAGCAGCTTTCTGCATCATGTGAGGACTGCTCCCGGCAGCTGAGATGTCAACATTCGGGGCAACTGTTGACTCTGCCGGGAGCGATGGGCTCCGGCAGCTAGAGGCGAACCCAACAAGCGGGATGATCGGACAGTAAGGGACACATAAGGTTCGCCACTCCTGGGCGGGGACTTGGAGATAGAGCGGGATGGAGGGGATGAGCAAGGCACGCTTGCGGAAACCTTCTGCAAGCAGCGACCGCTGGTCAGCAAAGCCCAGTCCCACTCCCAGTCAGGCGCCATCTTTGCGCTGGCGAAGGCTTGCAGTCCAGGGAGCAAGCGTGGTGTACGCGAGCATGAACAAGAAGCCAGGGCATCGCTCTTGGACTTTAGACTGGCTGCAGGACACTGACCTGAGAGCTCCAGATGGACGCTGCGGGACACCTTTGAAAACGAGCGCAGCACAGCGGTTCTGGCAGGCATCCTGCAAGCCAGTGCCCGGGAGCGTGATGCTGCCCGGCCGGGGAGGCAGCGTTTTAGACAGGAGGCCTGACCTCGGGGTCTTTGGTGACCTTTGAGTCTGGCTGCGTGGCGCAACTTCGCGTCTGCAGTTTGCCGGCTTGGTGTGCCAGTTACCGGCAACCAGGTGCGAGTGAAGCACTGGATTAACTGGATCCGATGGCCTTTTTCTGCCCGCATGCGTGGAACAGGACTAAGCAAAGTTTACAGTGAAGCGGCCTGCAAGTTGTTTTGGGCCAGCTGGAAGCTTGCTGCACCCTCTGCGGGAAGCTGATGAGACACGAACATGCACAGCATGCACGTCAGAAAGCATGAAGTTGATTTGACATAAATGCAACTGCCGAGCATGCAACACGGCACCGTCCAACAGTGGCATTGGATCATGGGATGTTGTCATGTAAACCGGCCGCATCTTCTCATAGAGGCTCTTTGCGGCCCATGGCAGGCTTTGCGGAGTCCGTGCATGTCAACCTGGCACCTGGAGGGAGGGTCGCTTCAGCACAATCTCCACACGACAACTGCCCTCTGCAGTGAGTGGAGACACAAGAGCCTGGAACTGAGGGCTGCCGTCCAGTCATCTCAAATGCTTAAGTAAGAAGTCAATATGTTCTGTCTCGGGGGTATCGGAACAACTTCTTCACAGCCGTGCCAGGCACAGCCTGCGTGCTGAAAGGGCCGTGGAGACTTTTGGGTTGACGCTCCAGGCATCGACCAGAAGCACTCAGCACAGCGATGTCCAGATTGGACGTTGCATCCTTGGAGGGCATCACACGTTGCCTCCCCAGCCTCGCTTGTGCAACGCTGGCTGCTCTAAAGGCGGGAGACTACGGAGCCTGGGACAAACTGCTGCGGGACACATGCCTTCATCCGCACTCCCAAAGATCAGAAATGTACCTGTTGTTGCTGAGCTCAAGGCTTCACAGACCATTAGCTTTGTGCTGGAGACCGATGAAAGCGCAACAGGCCGAGCATGCTATCTGTTAGAATGCTGCTGGCAAGCGTAACCTTCAGTAAAGGTGGGCTTCGCCTGTTGAAGGGCCGAGACGCTTCGACATCACTGGTTGTCAAAGGGAGACCTGAAGACCGAGCCTTACGGGTTGATCACGAGTGTGTGGCAGCCGATACGGGAACATTGCCGAAGTTGCGCTCACCAAGAATCGCGCTTGACAGTTAGTGCAGCAAACGGTGTGAAACCCGTGATCTGCGTCTGGTTGGAGCAACGTAGAGAACAGTGAGGTTTTGCGGCTCCACATGCCTCCTCACAAGGTGCCCTTCCGCAGACCGCTGGTCCAGCAGAGCTAAGTCTGCAACATCTGAGATGCTTCTGCGCACTTCTTCGGCACCCATCCTCTGCGTCCCCTGCTGCCTGTGCTTTTGGGCTACAACCGCTGGCCTTAGCCTCGAAGGCTCCACTCCTGATGCGACTGATGCTGTCAATGCAGACCTCGGTTCAGCTGTACAGGCCCGAAGCCTCGTAGGCCCAGCACGCTGCTGGATGGACTGCTTTTGTGCGGGAAACCATTCTGAGCTAGGCACCGAGACAACGCTTGGCAGCATCAAACTTGCCTCAGACAGCAAAAGGATCAGCGCGGTCGCAGAAATCTTGGACCGTCTGACATGGGGAGCTGAAGGCTGATCATGAGAACAAGCTGAGCTTCAATTTCGGAAGAAGCTTACAAGACCTACCGGCATCTAGGCATTCGATTTGCCCTGCAATGAAAGCTTCCGAGAACCTCAAAGGGCAGAAATCGATCTCTGACAAATGGAGGAGGCTGGGGATCTCTGACAGGACAACGTGCCGCGCCATGCAGGCCGAGAGGTGAGGATTACAGCAGCAGGCAGCTGCCACAGACGAAAGAAAGACAAAGGAGCCCCTCGATGGGCTCTTACGAGAAAAGTGCACATATCTGACATACCAAGATTTCCCTGGAGGCTTGTGTCTACACCAGAGATATCTGGAAGGCTTAGCTTGGGAGGCCGAGGGCCTGCAAATGCTAGTCCGCCTTCTGGAAACCAATCGAAGCTCTGGTCACGCAAGGCAAGGCCCACCTCAACTTGCCCGGAAGCTGTCGCGCTGAGTTCCGAATCTTCACGCGGAGATGGGCAGGTTGTGCACGGAGCGGTGTGGGGCAGCTGCGGGCGTGTGCCGCTTGCGGGCGGCCCCAAAAATGACTCAACGTGGAGTGAGGGGCCTGCAAGCGGTGACACGGCGGCAGGCCGAAGCGGGCGAAGCCCTCATGCTGCAACACATGTTCGCATGACGCGCGCATCAACGCATTAAGAAATGCCCATCGGCGCCGGGGCTCCTGAGGACCCTGCAGCCGGTCTAAGCATGGAGAACACAGCAGCCGGTGCACGCTGGACAGGCCGATGAATCAGAAGAGGTGCGTGATGCCGCCCACTGAAAGACCTGCTCTCGGTGGGGCACTCCTGGCGAGGCTTCGCAGCGCATGGAAAGGTGCCTTGCGCATGGCGTGCGAAGGTTACAAGGGCAGTGCCTTTACTAAAAAAGGCCAACCCCACTGAGACTCTCCTGCACGCTTTGACTTTAACCCAAGACCTTCAAGGACCCTTGCGAAGGTTTTCAGGCTCATGTGCTGTCGGCGGCTCTGGTTGTGTGCAACGCACCCCGACTAGGCCGCAAATGTCCTGCAGCGCGGAGCACACTTTAGCACAACAACTGTCAGTTCTTCAAAAGGACGAATGAGCTCTATGGACTTTGAGCTAACCGATTCTTTCCCACGAGCAAATTTCACCCTCGTGAGCTTTAGTCCGAGGATGGAGGCAGGCTCGATCGCTTGAACGCACTGGGAAAGGTGCCTCGTATGGCCGGCCCGCAGGATCCTGCAAGCACGGTCGAACGCATGGGAATGGGACATCGTGTCTCCCTGCGTGGAGGGGGCCGCAGCTTGCTGTGACATTGGCAGAAAGAAGACTTACAAAACAAGACACCTGGGAGGCGGCGATGCGATGGACACTTGAAAAGGCAGCAAAGTGGGCTCGGCCCATGTGGAGCCACAGCAGCCTGGGTGACGGGTCCTGACACAGCCTCCGGCACGGGGCACGTCAGCTAGAAGAGGGCTTGTAATCCAGAACTGCCGCATCACTTACGACACAAGGAACGCACAGTGGAACACAGCCCTGTTGGACGACGAGGCTCAGCTGGAGGCATCTTTGATGGCTATCGCGGGCCTGAGAAAACATTGTGCTGAGAGAGGCGCTTTCGCAAGCCAAGCCTCACGTGTATTGCTTTGCACTGCACAAGGGGAACAGTTCTGGAAAACTTCAAAAAAATGCATGGGTTGGCACGACAGGCGTTGCGAAACTTAGACACCCTTAGGTGCGACAACACGTCTTCATGACCAGAATCTGTGTAGAGAACGAAGGCTGCAAAGGTAACCGCTCTAAGCCGCATGTATTCCAGGCTAACGCCATGTCCGCACAAACTTTCAGCTCAAGCCCTCCTTCGCCAAGGCCTATCGAGACCAGCCCAAAACCTTTGCTGAATCTCAAGACCACTGGCGCGAGAACTCTGCACAATCCCGGTCCACCATGGACAGGAACGAACGGCTGTGCCGTGACGAACAACGGGGCAGCTGGAGCCTGGAGATCCCTCACCGGGCCCTGGCCAGAAGGGATGCTCACGTTTGGCGGTGGCAGCCACTGACTCAACGTGGTGCATACCCAGAGATGCTGGCTTCGCCCGGTATGGAGCCGACCTTTGTTTTGCTGTTTGGGTTCCGTGGCTCGGAAGCTGGGCTTGCTCAGCAACAGGGGGCAGGCAGGCATAACATGGAACAGGTCAAGAGGAAACCTAACCGCTTCTCCCATAATCTCCAACCTGGACACTGTTGTCCCATGCCTTGCAACAGAGCCTAAACAATTGAAGTGCCCTTCCGCTTCATGCAGCGAGGAACGGACAAAGTGAAGGCACCATGCCCAACAGCCTTGTTGTGCTGGTGGAGGTTGGAAGGCTCCACCGACGTGGCACACCGCAAAC